ACTTACCATATTGATTTTTGTTCATGTCATGTCCCAGGTTTAAGAATGACATTTCTTTTTCTATGTTCTATATTTGCCAAGGAAACCTTCGTCTGTTCCTTAGAGCCTACCTCTATACCTATGCTTCTTGTTAAGTCTTTACTAACCATGAACTTATGTTACATAAATTACTTGAAATCTACTGATATACTATCATTAGCATGCATTTGATGTTACTAATTTGTCTGACTTTGTTTTTACCTACATGCATCTATTCATTTCTACAACCATATTTTAAAATTCTGCATGCCTTCCAGAAGACCTAGGTATCTTGTAAAGTTTCTGCAAGTCCTTAGTGTGGTTGATGGAGTAAATATTTATAATCACCACTCAGGAGCAGGTGTCTGAGCAGAAACAAACCTTAAGTTCCATTTTTACTCCTTGCTTCCCCGAGTCTGTAAATAAGCAATAGCCTTTATGTAATGCGCTATCCTGTTGACCGCATTTCATATGCACTTCCTTTTTCTTAAAGCACTGAGCAGGCTTTGTTTTAATTCTTTATGATCTCTCAGTGGATTCAGATTTCTTCTCTTAAATTTTGAAGATCAGGTTTTATAATCTTTTAGATACTGTAGTTTGACAATTTAGCTACTACACTGTATATATCAGGAATTATGCTCTGCAATTATTTCATTCCTCTATCAAAAGATCTTTGTGAGGTTAAGCATTGTCCCTATTTTCCACATGAGAAAACCAGTTAGGTTACAGGCATGCTAAGGCTTGACTTTGGTGACTAAGCTTTTGACACTTTTCTCTTGCTTTCCTTTCCAAGCTGAAGCTAGGCTGAGTAGTAGGAAAGTCAAGTTCATCATTACTGATGAAATGCCTGCAGGCTACCTTGTATGGCAAGGCCTACAAAGGAGGGGGAGCATCAGGGAGAACTCCCTAGCTAATTTATGAAACACAGGGAATCAGGGACCTTATATTTTTTGAAAATTTTTATTTCATTCTTTGCTTTAAGCACATTTTTCAAAGGTAGAGAACTTTTCTGTTGCTGAAATTCTACTGTCTTCTCTTAACCAAGGAACTCAGCCATCTAGTCTATTAACTAAACAAAAATGACAGGAAACTTCATAAATATTTAAAGCAGCTGCTATGAATTAAACATTGGGGTAAAGAACTAACTCCTTCATTAAGTACAATGTTTAAATAAATAAATAAGCTCATGACATATATTGCTAGGTAAATCAAATGTTTGAACTAATAATATTTCAGGTTTCTCTAAACATTTACCTTGGGTAGTACTTCAATAATTATATTACATGTGTTTGGCTTATTAGCCCAAAAACAACTGATTTTAATGAAACATTTAGGACTTTTTAAAAATGTGTAAATGGTTGGTAAATATGGTTGGCTCAGCCCTTCAGAAAACAAAGTCATTAGCGTAAATATAGGGCCATGCATGAGAAAAATGTGACAAGTTTTGTGTGATTTAAAAAGTAAAGCTTAGTAAAAATCGCAAAATCAGAATATCAAAACGTTGGTGTGATGTTTGAGTATATGCTTTTCATTCTGTAGTGTGAGTGTCTTCATTTGTTAGACCAGTGGCAGGGCTCCTGAAATGTGCCAGGTCTACGATACAACAGGGTTACAAGAGGTGATTAAGATGTAGCTCCCAGTCCTACATCAATACCTGCCAACTTAGATTTCCTCCTGCCTGCTGCTTTCTGCCCTCTGCCTGCCAGGTGAATGGGGCTGGGAGGACTGGATTTAATGAATTTGGGATTGAGGAGATCTTAATTTGCATCTGTAATTTTGTCACTGACCATGTGGCCACATTTAACCCTTTCCACCAGGCCTCATTTTCCATACTTACAACACCGCCATAGTCATTCTTACCCTTTTGAGACTTTGGCAGAATGTAGTAAAAAGTAAATATGAATCTTGTCATTTTTTTATTAATGGAAAACCATGAATCGTTGACATTATTTAAAAAAGTTCTGTGAAGAAAGACACAGTGGTAATACTTAACCCTTTTTGAGTGCTTGCTATATGCCATGAGTGCCTCACCATAGCTTTATATGGTGGAACGTGGCATTATTCCATCTTGCAGGTAAAGAGGCTGAGGCGAAGAAGTGGTGGTATTTGCCTGAGGTCACATAGCTAGTAAGCGATGGAGACAGATTTGCCCCCTGTGCCCAGCTCCACATACTCACCCACTGTGCCCAGCACTATGGAGGCCTTCCACATCAGTGCTGGGAATTCAGTTAGGCTCCATCTTCCATGAGGTCTGTTCTTATTTTATTCAATATTTTCATAGGACAAAAATAGATTACCCAAAGCTAAGAGAGATACCTTTTCTCTTTTTAGTGGATTTTTTTTTTTTTTTTTAAGGCTCTCAGAGTTGAGTTTGCTTGAACGAAATTGGCTATAGATTTCAGGGGACAGTGTAACCCTCAAAAATTGTGGTCTCACCACTGTTAAAAATTATTGAGGCCCTCAAAGAGGTTTTGTTTATGTGGGTTGTACCTATGGATGTTTATATCAAACTTAAATTAAGGAGCTGGGTGTGTAACTTAGTGGTAAATTATGGGCTTAGCATACTTGAGGCCTAGGTTCAATCCGTGGCACAAAATAATAAAACAAAAACAACAATAATAATGATAATAAATAAATTAGCTGGACATAGTAGCTTGCACACACCTGGAATCCCAGTGGCTAAGGAGGCTGAGGCAAAAGGATTGTAAGTTCAAGACCGGTCTTGGTAACTTAGCAAGACCGTCTCAAAAAAAAAAAAAAAAAAAAAAAAAGTCTGGATTGTAGCTCAGTGATAAAGTACCCCCAGGTTTAATCCCTAGTGCCACACAAAGTCTGTTTAAAGTAATTGCTACCATTAACATAAAAGCCCTTTTGAAAATGGAAAATGGCCTTGTGTTTTTAGAACTAAAAATTGAGAAGTGTGGCATAGTTCTAATTTTAGCACATCTCTAATATTTGGCCTTAGTAGGTCAGCTCCTCCTGCATTATCTGTTGCAATGGTCTACATCGTTTACCAAAGGAAAATTTCTCTCTGCACTCAGGAGAAAATGAAAGCAGGAGAGGCAAAACAGTGTCTTAATTATTATTAAAATTAATTATTCAACTAATATTAATTATTATAAGAATTGACAATTTTTGAATTAATAAGTTTGACCTCTAAACCTCTTGAAAAGAATATTGGGGACCTGCATGATACCATGCTTTAACCTGCTGCTTATATTAATATTTAGGCCATGAGATGTTAATGACAAAAATCAGCAGAGAGAATAAAAGGGAATCAACTGAACATCTTTGGCAATTAAATGAAGAAGGCAAGGGTAAACCTCAACGATGTCATCTAATGAAATAATTTTTTATCAGACTGCTAGAAAATGATCATTGGTTTAGTCAGCAAACAGGGCAGACTGCAGCATGTATTAAATATGCTAAAGAAATTCTTTTTCTTCCTCTTGTGGCTTGTTTTCTTATATATAATGAGTTTAACATTAAGAGTACTAGATGATATTTGAGAAGTGCATAAAACAGCTAATATCACTGACTTCCTTGTGGTCCTGACTGGCACCTCTCCATTTTGGTGTATTCAGCTGTGAAAGTAATAATGATAACTAATAAGAGCAACCACATAAAAGTCGTTGGGACGTAGTGACATTTAAACCTCACAACAGCACTTTAAATTAGGTGGCTTCCTTCTTTTTCTCCTCCTCCTTTCTCTCTTCCCTCTCCTCCCATTTTGCAGAAAGAGAGATTAAGCAATTGCCAAATCGCATATCTGGTAAGCAGCTGGATGACTGACAGGCTGTCTTTAAAGTTCATGCCAGCTGCTATCCCATGCCCTGTAGCCTTTACCAATCTTACCATGTTTTTACTTACAGAAGATACACAATGTATGTGAAGGGTACCTGGCACATTCTAAGCACACACTCATGCTGCTATTTCTCTTCTTCCTATTTATCCTCATCATATCATGTAATTCCTCCTCTTCCACCCCACCCCATTGATTATCCCTCAACTTCCAATTTTGCTTTGGTTTGGGTGGTACTGGGGATTAACTCAAGAGTATACTACCACCAGCCCTTTTTATTTGGTTTTTTGAGACGGGATCTCACTAAGTTGCCCAGGCTGGCCTCAAACATTCCATCTTCCTTCCTCAGTCTCCCGAGTTTTGGGGGATTACAGGCATATGCTTGATTAATCTTTGGTTCTTAAAGAACCACTAACTGGTAGTCATTTTCTCTTCTGGGCTTACTCTCTTGACCTGTAGTATTGATAGGAGCCCTCCCAGTACATGATCTCATTCACTTTGTCAGATTCTGGAACTTCCACACCCCTTGTGACAGGATCACTCACTCTGCATCTGACAGGGAAAATTCTATCATGGCTGTCCTTGTCATTTAATCTGAGTATGACTTCTTTATAGAGTTATGCTTTTTTTTTCTTCCTGCATTACAAAAATGGTTAGATACTGTAAGCTTTCACTATATTAATTGTATTTATTTTAGGATTTCAGATTGCCAAAAGATAAAACAGGCACCACAAAGGTCGGTGACCTTGCACCCCAGGACATGAAGAAAGTTTGCCATTTAGCCCTGATTGAGCTGACCGCTCTCTATGATGTATTGGGTGTCGAGCTGAAACAACAGAAAGCTGTGAAAATCAAAACAAAAGGTAACCTTCAAATAGAAATAATAGTTAGACTGACTTTTAAAGCAGCAAAATGGATTTTTAGCAGTATTCTTGGGGGCAGGTATCAAAGCAACATCTGCAAATACATCTGGAGTTCAGATTCTAAAACATTGCCTTCAAAAATTGAGTAACTTGATAAAAATATACTGTGTCTTAGAGACTATAGAAAATAAAGGCATAATCAAATAATTCTCACGGAAGGAAACTGTGAATCAAAGAATCATAACTTTATGCTTTCTCCTTTGAAAACTGTGTATTTTTTAAAAAAACATTTGTTTTCAAATTCAGATCTTGAAAAATGACTTTGAGCTGGTTGGTCCTAAATTATGACTCTCACTTATCACTGGCTAGAAAATACTGGGGTAGTTAGTATTTTGTCGCTTTGTTCACTTACCTATGAGTTGTAACTACATTTTTAAAATAGTTCTTATCCTATTAAGGGAATGTCATTGTAACATATATACGGTACCCCTAGATGATACTAATCCTATATATGTGTAGTTTTTCTTTTGTAAGCAGCTTGCTTTACCTATTACAGAAATAGAATTTATATTTCGTAGCATGATAAAGAATGAATACATCTTTGGTTTTTGTTCCTCTGGGGTTTTATTGGTCTGGAAATCCAGATAATTCTCTACTGACAAAGCTTTACTGTGTAGGACTCTTTGTCCTCTTGTTTAACCTGAAAGGTGCCTCCTAAAGGGACACCATGAATGAGGACTATGAGTTGCTATGGTAACATTAGCCAAGGCAAGTAGTCACCTGGTTTAAATATTAGCGGCAGTTTCTCTGTGGGACTGAAATGTCTTTCCCTCAGGTCCTCTGTCATAGTGGACCCACGGTGGACCACATTCCATGTTCAGTTCCTAGGAATCTTCTAGCTTGAGGCTTGGAATGGTGAATTTCTGGGTTAAAAGGTGCTCTTTTTTTTTTTTTTTTTTTCCATGAGTCTCTTGTGTAGAAAGAAGACTTCACATGCTTTTCTAGAATCTCATCACAAAACCTGCAATTAAAAGATAGAAATATAATTTAAATAACTGTAACCTAGTCCTCATGATTTTTGTGTTTGTTTTTGTTTAAGGATTCCATTCTAGCGGAGAAGTATTGTTCTTATTAAAGCTATCACAGTTTAAATGGAACAGTAGAAATTCCAGTATTTAAAAAAAAAAAAAAAATTCTTGTTGCAGATTATGGTCTTTTTGGTGTTTCAGTTGAACCCAGGAGCACTGTACTACTGAGCTACATCCAAGCCCTCTTCATATAAGTGCTGAGACTGGCCTCAAATTTGTGATTTTCCTGCCTTAGCCTCTTAAGTTGCTGGAATTACAGGTGTATGCCACCACATCCAGCAAAAAATAATCTTCATCACTTATTAAAAGTTATGGCTGAAAACCAAGTATCTCATCTGTGGTAATTCTCCACTTAGTGATGGGGATGCGGTGGAGGTTCTGGGTAAGAACTCTGCTCCTACCAAAGTCAAGGCATATGATAGTAATTTACAAAAATTATAAATGATATTATCTATCATTTCTTCTGGAATGATTACTGACTATATTTTTTTTAAAAAAAACTACAGATTTAAATTTAAGAATACCAAATATCTACTGTTTTTTTTTTTTTTAAGTGGAAACATTTGTAGAATAGGATCATAAAGTTGGCTTATTTCTCAAAATGGCATTTATTGATACTTAGCTGTTTTGTAGAATGTTAAATGTCAATTTAGAAGAGATGAGTAATACTTGGTTTTCAGCCATAACTTTTAATTTGATTGAACTTTAGTAAATTGTTTGAATATTTATATGTTCTCCCAGGAGTCTGTTTTTCCTTTTGTAGCAGTTTTCCCTTTTCTAATTATTTCAGTGATTTTTTTTTTTTTTTTTTTTTTTTTTTTTGCAATCTTTAGTGTTCTGGTTGGATCTAGAACATCCCCTATGGGCTCATGTGTTAGCTCAAGACTTGTTTCCCAATGCTACAATGTTCATAGCTGGGGCTTTGGGGCAGTAAATAGATCATGAGGGTTCTGACTTTATGGATTAATCCATTGATGGATTCACAATTTAATGGACTATTGAGATGTGATGGAAATTTCAGAGGCTGGGCCTAGTTGAAGGGAGTGAGGTGTGCCTTAGGGTTCTGCCCTTGGGGACTATATCTTGTCCCATATTCCACTCTTTGTTTTCTGGCCATCATAAGGTGAGAGCTGTGTTTTACCTTGTCCTTATGCCATGATGGTAGCTGACCATGCACTGAAATTTTGAAACTATGAGCCAAATAAATCTTTCATCCTTTAGGTTGTTTGTCTCAGGCATTTTGTCACAGTAACAACAAGCTAACACATTGTTTGCTGCTATATTTCTCCATAAGGCAAGGTCAATTTTTATATTGACCTAATGGCCGGCCAAGTTTTGTCCTTTTCCTAGTAGGTACTCAATAAATAGTTGCATGATTGAATGACAATGTCAGAAATCTTATGCCTTAACATTTTTTTTTTGTATTTATTATTATTAGTCAATTGATGGAAACAAACACATTTTGTTTTCTTGTTGCAGATTCTGGTCTTTTTGGTGTTCCACTGGCCACATTGTTAGAACAAGATCAGAGAAAAGTGCCTGGAACTCGAATACCCTTGATCTTTCAAAAAGTAAGTAGGCCTGTTTTTTTTTTTTTTTTTTTTTTTTTGTACTCATACTATTATACTATATACTATAGTTTCAATTGATAGTCTCTTTTACTTTGTGGTACTTGGATTTTCTATTCAGGAAGCAAATTTGTTTCGAGGGCTCATAATTTTTATTTCATGGTGATGCTTTCTGTGTTATTACTGTAACTGTGATCACCGGGCATCATTTTCCTGTCTTGTATTAGCTGGCTTTGTATAATTGAGATTTCAATTCTATAATACATAGGAGTGAGAACTGCTTATAAATTTCTAGGGAATTGAATCTTCATGAATATTTCATGCCTGTATGTATTTCCCAAGCTTTCCTATTTACAGTGAGGATGTCCAATTTAATTTACCAGTGCCTATGTCCAAAGTAGGCAAAGAAACCATAAAGTAGAATTAGAAAATGATTACTAAACTATCAAATCACTTGGGTAGTCAACACTCAATTATTCATAAGGGGATTATCTATAGCAATAAAAAATTTCAGCCCAACCTCTGAGCCATCATTGCTCCTGAAGCACAGATTACATTTGATAAAAGCTAGGAAGCCACGCTGAAGAAGCCAGATCAGATCAGTTGTGGACAACCCACGTTACGGATACTTTGCAACAGTCCAGGCATATTAGTTTCTGAAATCTCTAGGGACAGGAGAAATGGTTTCACAGTTGACTAGGCCAACAGACTCATCCAAACCTAAGGCTTAATCTTGGCACTTAGTCTATGCCAAATTGGTCATTTCCCTGTCTGACTAGCATTGTGGCCTTTATTGCTCTTGTTTGCCATTACACCAAACCCGTGTATCTCTGTCTCTCCTGATGAACTTTGTTGTGCGGTTTATCCTACTCATCAGCTTCTGACAGCCACTGCCTACAGAACCTGTATCTGTATGAATAGTGGTCAATGCTTCCTGTGATTAATAGAAAGAGGGTAACAAATACCGGTTACTGACAAATTCTTTTAGTCTCAAGAAAAGATGTGAGTTGTTATAGACAAATGGCTTCTCAGAACGGGAATCTCAGCAGCATGCTTCCTAAGTGTGTTAGCCAAGGCTCTGCAGAGAAACAGAACCAATGGGATATATGCAGAAAGATATGAAGTGAAGTACTTTGGAGAACTTTGTCAGCTAGGTATGGGTGCTAGCAAGCCTCAGATGTGGAGCAAATGGTCTGGACCCTGGGGTGAGAGTTCATGCTTCAGTCTTGAGACAGAACTTCTTTTTTGGAATATCCCAGGTTTTGCCTTTAGGCCTTCGATTGATTGGGTAAGGCCCTCCAACTTCTGGAGGGTTATTTGCTTTACTCAAACTATGATTTAAATGTTAATAGCATCTGAAAAAATCCTATCCCTGCAACATCTTGATGAGTGTTTGACTGAATAACTGGATACTGTAGCCAAGTGGACACACAAAGACATCATCATACCAGGGAAGTTCTGTGAGCCTAGGTTTTCATAAGGTTCGATGATGCTTCCTCACCAGGCTGAGCATGGTATCCGGTCCCTTGAGAAAAATCTCCCTTTGTCATTTCTCTTGACAGTATTTTGTTGTCGTTGTTGTTAAAGTTTATTTAGTTACTTTTCATTATTTTCTCTTCAACATTCTCTAGACTCTGGCAGCCTGCTAGAATGAAGTATTGGTGGTATAGCTCCAAGCTTTTCATTCATATGAAGAGTTTGCTTGTAGGTAACACTCATCTGCTTGTGTCCCCTCTGAATTGTAAGCAGCAAATCACAGTGGTCTGTCATGAGAAGTGCCTTTGGATTCATCAGCTGGACAACTCAATTGGGTCTTCCCTCTGTTTTGTAAAAAGAAAGAAATAGAAACCACTGATCTACAAAGAGATTCATTACCAATCTTCAGAGGATTATACTTTTAATGTTTGAGGAAATATACCCCCCCCCCCCAAAAAAAAAGGCCACTAGCAGAGCTTATCTACTACCATTGAGTTGTTATCTGGTATTTATTTATTTTTTCCTCAGAGGCACTTTGTTTAAACCATATTCTCATAAAGAGTTGAAAAATAAAATGTTGTTAATTTTAATTTAATGGAAAAAGTCCACTTTATAATTTAGTTAGCAGATCCAGTGTTCTGACAAACTAATAGGCCGTACTAGGCATACTTTGTGTCAAAAAAGCCTGAGTTCATTTTTCAGTTATCATAAATCTATACTATATATTTTGAGAAATGCTGTGAATTACTGATAAATTATAGAACATGAGATAAATTATTAAAACTAGCATATTCACTATATAGATCAATATTATAATTTTCTATCTATTTTAAGTCTTGAAAATTAAAAGGAAGGCAAAATAGTATATTTTAATAATGTAATATGTGATGGTAAAAAATGTGATTTTCAAAGTGAGAAATATGAAAATATGAAATTCAGATTGTATACACACATATATAATTCTGTCAGATGCCAGAATTCAGTTTTTGAGAATAATAAAAAAGTCTAGACTATTGAAAATTCAGATGTTGCTCTCATTTAGTTATTTAGAAGTCATGATCCATTTTTTTTTGAATTTAATGAAAGTGAGAAAGCATAGAAACTATGCTTTTAGTAGAAACTAAAAACTAATTTGCTTATAATCTAACATGATTTTGTTTTATTGTTAATTTTACAAGGTGAAATAAAATGAAAATTATTCATTGAATATTTATAAATCTGGTTTTAAATACTTTATTCTTTTTTTTTTTAGTTTCTATCCATTGAACAATGTGGTTTTGAAAAGTTTTCTGGTTTAATTTTTAAAAAATCACATACTACTTCAACTGGTCAAAGATACTTCATCTAGTAATAAATCCTTAGGAGAATTTTGTGACTATTCTTTGGTTAATTCTTAACCCAGCTCCCTAAAAATCAGAGCATCCTTTAGCCACCACCTAGTCCAAGGATAGAAGAGGTGATGTCATTAAAGAAAAATTGCCATTGCTTCCAGTGTTCACATACCCTAATAGAACTGATTTCAGGTCAAAGGAGCTCTTTTATGACAGCTAGTTTGGTTCTTAAGAGGCACTTTTTATATACAAGATAAAAACAGGTCTATGTGGCTTATGGCACCTTGGTTAATGACTAAAGGAGTCTTCCCTGAAAAACATTCTTTTGTACTCTGGAAGATTTTATGCCTTAGGATATGCTGAGGATGTTATACTGAGATTACACATGAGGCAGACTAGTTCTGTCTGATGAAGTAAGAGAAGGCTAATGGGGAAAGTGGGTAGGTTGTAGGAGGGGAAACCTATAGGATGCTAATAAATGCATTATATTTAAATTGAGGATGTGGAATCGATTTCCTTAAAAATAACAGAATACCTCCATCAACAATTTGTGTGCTACCCAGGAAATGTGGGTTCTAGTTTTCCAGTTGGAAGATCACCCTACCAAGAAACTGACCACTCTTGTCTTCTTTGTAGCTTTCAATAAATAGTTTGTCACCATAACTTCCCCCATTTGCCTTATAGTTTTAAAAATAAAGGCTGGGAGCAGAGGCGTTTACCTGCAATCCCAATTACTTAGAATCTGAGACAACAAATTGCTAGTTTGAGGCCAGCCTGGGCAAGTCAGTGAGACCCTGTGTCAGAAAGGACTAGGGATATATAACTCAGTGGTAGAGAGCACTTGCCTAGCATGTGGGAGGACCTGGCTTCCATCCTTAGAAAGAAAACAAAAAAGACTTTATTTTGGGGTTCCAGAAGAGAAAGCTATGTGTAGTCATTGGCCATTGGTTTGATTTAAAAGTCCTATTTAAGAACATTCAAGTTTATCATCAAAGACTTAAAAATAAATATTAGCAAACGAATTTTTTTTCTTCATATTGTAAGTAGTTCTTTGTTGGAACAAACTAAAAATGTGATGTCATTGTGCAGATACTAGAATTTCATAGAATTTATTTTATTTCAGAATATGTTGCTGGAAAAACAGAAGAAATGGATGTTCTTGGTTGCTTTTAAACAAAGAACATCTTCGTTCTCTGTTTGTTTGGAGTACCACAGCTGTTGTGCGAAATTATACACTTCTGTTGCAAAGTAAAACCAGAGCCAACTTTTTCTAAATTATAACTAGTTCTTGGACTTATTGTTTTGAATTGTGGTGGTGCATTAGCATTCAAAACCTCATAAAATCCAGTGTACATGTCATTGCAATCAGCTTTCACTTATTTATATATGAAACAGATGTTAAAATGTACCTGTTACAGATATCAAAATCAGCATGTTTTTCTGTTTATACATAGCTGATTTCTCAAATTGAAGAGGGAGGTTTGGAAACTGAAGGCCTCTTACGAATACCTGGAGCTGCCATTAGAGTCAAGGTAATGTAACCTTTTGGCTCTGTTAATGTACAATTTTATTGTTTAATTATACTTTTGCATTTTAAAGCCAACTTGTCCTCCCCACCCCTTATTGTTAACTAAGTGGATAAAATAAAACAATAAAACATCTTAACACTTCACTTTATATTTAGGTTTTCTACAATCCCTTCTCTTTAAGTTTTTATTTTTCAAAATTGCCATATTAATAACACTAGTCTAAAGAGAACATGATGACTCAAAATATTAATAGGGGGTTGTGGTGATAGGTTTATCAGGATGAGTAATAGCAACTGAGTTTTTATTTTTATTTTTACAGGAACATAAGACTCTGGCACAATATGGCCCTTGACAATAGTCCCCATACTTTGTTAGTGTTGGCGAGCTGGCAGAATGAGTGTCCCAACCACACTCCCTATCATCACAGTTCCTTTTCTTTCTGTGGCCAGCTGATGCAAGTCTGGCTGGTAAAAGAGGCGAGGGGATTCCCAGACTTCCTAGTTTGGATCCCCCTTTGTCCTTACCTTTTCTTGTCTCCTTGGGGTCCTGTGCACCCTCCTGTTTTCAACTCTGTGCTCCAACTCCTGTTCTGGGGGATAAAACTTCCAGTGATTGCACAATAGATAATGGAATGACCCTGCAGGCAGGATGTACTACATATGTCTCCCAGAAGACATGCTTTTAAAGGAAGTTCTTTGTAACTATAACTACATCTAGAAAATTCACCTGGCAGAAATGTTCAGTTAGCAGTCATTTACTATCTCTTTTACCCTATCTTTCAAATTCAGCTTTGATTCTGAACTGAGATAGCGCAGAGAAACTGCTCGCATGCTAGATATTGTCTGACTGAATTTGAAATTCTAAGAATAAATATGATCAAGGGAAGAGATCTTCTCTGTTCATTTCCTTAAGTCCTATTATCCTATTTGACAACTTCAGAGCTGACCAGGATGAGATGACGCTCAGTGGGTGCATGCTGCCGTTGCTTGTCACTGCTGGGCTTTGGTACTACTAGGATTGGAATTACTATTCATGTATTCCACAGTTTGCATCACCTAGTGATAAGTTTCCTTATTCCAAGACACTAGATTCAGCCAACTTGGCTCTTCCTACACAGTGATCTCATTTTAATAGGATTCCAGTAATGTGACATACCCTGCTGACAAATTTCAGCTTGTGTCCCCTGGGTTTGATGTCTGGTACATAGAGGTCCCTGGAAAGGCTTTGCCTTGTTTGTAAGTTTTATAACTTGCCGATGTCTTTCTGCATTTATGAACATCTACGGCGAGTTCACCAGTCAATCATGGGCATTGTATGTGATTCAGGGATCAGCTCTTGAGAAATGGGTTCTCTTACAATGGAATGGAAACAGGTAATGTGGCTTCATATTACTTATGTCAGCACAAGTAGTGCTTCTCAGTTGACAGTTCAAAGCCTTTGGGCCCTCATGAGCACAGCATGATGGCAACCCCACAGGATCCAAGACAGGTTGACTTTAGTACAGAAATAGTGAATATATGTGGATTTTACTTTGTGATGGGAAGGCTGGCAGAAAGACAACTAGATGTAATTTCTACAACGGCCAATTAAGAAGATTCAGCTGGGTTAACCCAGCCTCTTGTCATCCACCAAATTATGCAGCAGCTGGTCCATTACAAATAATTTAACGATAAGAAGCAAAATTTTTGCTTTTCTCTTTTCTTCCCTGCCCTACTGGTTCTCCCTCTTTTCTTTTTCCTCTCTCCTTTTTCTGTTTTCTCTTTTCCTTCTCTCCCTCTGCTCTCACATCTCCATTTCTAAGTTTACTTGCATACTTTTCACTAATTATAAAAATAACGAAGGTAGAGGATGGGGTTTTGTTGGGAAGAGATAATGTGATAAAAGTCACCTTACAAGGAAAATAAAAACCATCTTGTGGGAGACTGGTTTCACCTAATAGAAGGAAGTAGCAAACTTTGACAGGATTTCTGACACGATAGAATTTATACCATGGTGTTTATTAAAAAAAAAAAAAAAGGCATGTTGAAAGTAGTGATCATTAAACTAAATTGACTTATTAGTTGTAGTTTTGGCCAGCAAGTTTTGCAGAGTCTGTGAGGTAAATGAGTAGGTATTTCCAATTCTAAGTGGACTCGGAATGCTCCCTTGAGTTAGTTGAAAGCAGAATGGCTGCATTTGAAGACGGGTATATTGATGTATTTTCATGCCTTGTTTGCTATAGGATTTGGTTTTCCATTTCCCAGAGGTGACTAATCAGAGGTGATCTTCTGCTTTAGGGTGCAAAGATTGATTATGCATTTTGTTACACAAATACACTTATAAATAACTAATTGTCTCTTTTAAGTGATTTGTTTTAATATCTTGAAGAATTGTTGTATCTAGGTGAAGCCCCTAAATAGAAGGACTATTTTAACTTTTAAGTAATTTTTATGTTCTTTCATTACTAAAGTTTGAGTAATTTTTTTTTTTTTAAATCTTGGCCTTAGGTACAATTTTTTCTTAGTAAAGTAAAACTGGGGTGGAGGTGGGGATAGTATTTTTCTGAGTAAAGGAAGTATTGACTTTTGATACTTCAATATGTCTTCTCAGAGTGGAATTCTTGTAAAGCAGAAAACATATCACACTCTCAGCAGGGGAAAAATGCACTTACTGATAGCCATCCCCCCGCCCCCCTTGTGTCTTTCAGAATCTTTGCCAAGAACTAGAAGCAAAGTTTTATGAAGGGACATTTAATTGGGAAAGTGTCAAACAGCATGACGCAGCCAGCCTGCTGAAGCTCTTCATCCGGGAGCTGCCCCAACCCCTGCTCAGCGTAGAGTATCTCAGAGCCTTTCAGGCTGTGCAGAGTAAGTGCCATCCCTCTTTGATGCTAGAGCTATCTATGTTGTTTTAAATGCATTTGGCAGGGTGAGGCAGCTAACCAGGTGTACCCAAGTAGACACATTTTGACTCATGGATGATGGTAGGTGCTCTAATACCTCAGGCTGTTTCCCTTTTCTTTTACAAATATACATGTCTGCATAAATAGGCTACAGGATGTTCTCTTTGGGTACAGGTTAATTGCTTGGCATTTAAACAATACAATTGAAAGTTAAAACCCGGAAACTTAAGTACTTCTCTAATAGGAGTTGCAGAAGATCTCTGATGCGTTTTTTTTTTTTTTTTCTTGCCAAGTGTTAAAAGCAACACTTACAGGAGAAGCTGTGGATTAACAGTTGTCATAAAAGCACAAGGAGATGTAGTAGAGTCTGTGAGCATTTTCCCTGAAAAATTAAATTTGGAAATTGTTGTGAGGAAGCATGGGACAGAGCACTTTGCTGCTTCATTGGTGGAGGACACAGACTTGTTGTATGTTGCAATTTTGTGGTCTTGGTCAAGCTCCAAGTTAATGTCTGTTATAGTTCTTGATTCCCTTTTCAGGGAACACAGCGATCTTATAAGGGTTATGTACCGGCACAATTATCCCTTTTACTCTGAGAGTCCATTAGAAAAGAAAGAACGCTGTCAACATGTTTAAGCAACCATATCTTTAGCTTCCAGACTGGGACACTTTTGAGTGAAAGAGGGGCACTGTTAATAATTATGGTGAGCTACTATGTCAATCAGAACGGTTCCAGGTTATTCTTAAAGCATACAATATTGAGATGAATTCATGAGTCATTTTGTACCATAACATTTCTTCAAAATTTATAAGGGAAACATGAAATATGTTTAGAAGTATTTTTTTTAACAGATTTCATCTTTAAACAGAAGAAACCATCTTCTGCTTAAAATATTTTTTAATGGTTAAATTGTGTTATTTTGTATACATCTCCTGATAGATTAAAGGGCCACATTTATTGCTGACAAATGCTGGCATGATTCTAAATATACATAAATATTACTTAAATGGGTTGAGGACTACTGAAGATCATAGATTCAATGTTTATAATGTAGCTCTTAGACTCTTTTAGTTGCTGTTTGGTTTCCTAATTCATTGCACAAACACATATTAAACACCAACTGTGTTCCAAGACCCTGTTTTACTTATTCCTGCTGAAATTAGTGGACTCGTCCCATGTATTTGTTTACTCACCATTAAAAGAAACACAAGATGCACCCTGATACCATGTCATGGAAGGTACAATCTTCTTTGTCTTTTCATTGGGGAATAATTATCTCACAGAAGTTAAAATTATTTCCAAAGCACTGTTGTGTGTCTGCAAACATAAGGCCGCTCGTCATATGATCACAGTTGGAAGTGAGCATTCTGAGGGAGAGGAAGCTCTTGGCAGCTGCTCCACTGATCTCCCACAAACTCTCTCAACCAGGCTTGCTGCTCAGTTGTCGTTGCATCTTACATTTTACTGTAATGTTTATGCCAAATAACTTTTTTGCTTGAAAATATAAAGAAAAATATTCAATAAAGAAAAGAGTTCAGATCTATCTAATCTATCTGCAGATCTTCCAACCAAGAAGCAACAACTGCAGGCTCTGAACCTCCTTGTCATCCTCCTGCCGGATGCAAACAGAGACACACTGAAGGTCAGCTGGGATAATTTACATTAAATATCCCTTAGGACATAGCATAGTGATTTTTCATTATTTACAGTACAACAATGTGATGTTTACCTTGGAAAGATTAGTAGAAGTTTAAAAGGAAAAGACTTCTAAGGACTGATGGGGAGGGAAAGTGTTTAATTCTTTATTAACTTATTATGTTGGTTGTTCATATTACTAGGTTTTGCATTTTAGGTTTTTCTATAACATTTCTTCTACCAAAACAGATGATTAAGGTTCATTTGATTAATGGAAACAATGGATATCTTTTTGTTTCCTATTTTTCTACATTTTCCAAATTCTGTTTAATGAGTTTGTATTAATAAGGTTAATAATATTTAAAATGAAAATCCTAAGACTCACTAATATAAATACAACCCACTATTGCCTAAGGATGTTGATCTTTTGTAGTTCCAAAGGGTAGAGTTTTTGAAATAAGTTGTTAATGGTGACTTAAAGTATTTGTTAGCCTAAAGATCAACCAGCTCAAATTCTAGTTATTTCTCTAAGGACTTTTTTTCTGATTTATATAATTTTGAAATGATTTGTTCTAATATTCGTATGTTTTAATGCCACTTATTATAAGTGTTATTAGAGGCTCTTATAATCAGTATGAATTGTTCCACACTGATTTATTTTCCTCAAGGGCCAAAGTTTATGGAGTAGTTATAAAGGCTCAATTATAAACTTTTATAAAAGAAAAAGGGATTTCAATATATAATTTTGAGAGAATATTTACTTTAATTTTTGCCATTACCATGAAAATTGTTTTATGTAGGTAGAGCAGGACCCTTGCCTTTTTATTCCCTGCATTTTTTTTTCTATTTAAAGTTAAATATCATGTTGAGAAATTTCATGTAAAGAAAAATCAGCATTTGGTCAGTCTTGAGAATTTTTTTTCTTCATCTTATAAAAACTCTTTGTAAGTTCATGGGCAGTAGTAGTTCTCTAATGCACTTGGAATGAACGTAACTATTCAACTTTTTTGGATAAAGCACTTCCATGAGGATGACTAGGGGCAATGCACTACCTCTCCAACAGGAGAATGTCTAAAGAGTTTTCTCCCTTTTCTATGTCAGAAACAAATCTTCTATTCTACTGATTTTCAAATGCATGACTTGGAACGCAATATTAGGGTAGGTTTGGTTTTTGTGGCAGAGACTGATTCTAGGACTAGTTACACTCAGATATTGCCATGGCAGGGCTACTGTGTAAGAATGTGTAGATTGTTGCTGAAATGGTTCCAGGACAGAGTGGGGCTGATTTTTCTGCCTGTCCTCTAATTACCAGCCATGCTCTTGATATAGTTTCCACTATGTAGGAAGATTGGGGAACATCTTTTTCTTACTCACATAAAAATGCCTGTTGGCATGACAGCCCTGTGAACAAGGAGTGGAAGGTGAAAAGTGAAATACACATAATTCCTTAAAATATAGATATATTCAAATAAATTCTCCGAGTTTTAGAAGAAAACGCTGATTCCAGTATGTTTGCTATTGGCTGGTCTAGAAATCTTTGGACTTTGCCTTCCAAGTCTGAGGCATATTCTTTTAACAATTGTGTTTAAAACTGTATGTTTAAAATTTAGGGTTAATTTCTATTTTGCATGTAAGTTTACTAGAAGATAATTTTATAATGGAGAAGGATTTTTTGATCAAAATTTGGGAGATGCAAATAAGTAATTTTACATATTGACTTAAGCTTTAGTGACTCAAATAGCCAACATTGATGGCTTCAAGCAATAATTCTAATGGAAGCTTATAATGGTATATCATAAACCATAAATTAATAAACTTTAAATTTACTTCTACGAAAGGAAAAGGAAACACATTGCAATGTAATTTTAGGAAACTTAATGCAGAGTTCCTGTGATGTATCCAGTGCTTGCATTATTCCTCAGCTATCAGGAGAAAGAGGATCATGTGTGTGCTTTGTGTAGAGTATTTCCACAGCAAATCTAAGGAGACACCAGGCATACCTATAAAGTGACAGGTGTCTTTGGGCAAGCTGCTTAATCAAAATTATTTGTTTTGAATTATTGTGCATTTGGACTCTTGATCATACTTACCTTTGATTTAGAGAATTAGAAGAATGATTTTAAAATATCAAGAGGAGATCCATGTTAATATAATTACCCATATGTATTCTTTTTATAGTTTTATTATATATTTTGTCTCAGTCCTTGCAAGCTACAAGACTGAAATATCCATTTTACAACTGAAAAAATTTAAAGTACAGATATATAAAAGGATTTGCCCTAAGACCACACATAACTAAGGAATAACTGTGCTGGGATTCAAATGCGTATTTTCAGGGAAAGGAACTGTAATGACTCATCACAAAGGAAATACTTTTTTTTAAAAAAAGAACAGTTCTTACAGTGTTTTTTTTTAAAGTTATCAATCTTATTTTTTATTAGTTGTTCATGATAATACAATGATCTTGACATATCATACATTTGATTCAAATGTATGATAATTTCTCATTTTTCCAAGTGTACAGGTTGCAGTATCACATTGGTTATATGGCCACCAGTTCTTAGTTTGTGGAAAAAAAAAATACTGCAGTTCTTTCAGCAAGGCAAGGCTAACATCTTATTAAATTTGTATCTTCTTTCCTCCTTTCTCCCAGTCCCTTCCTCCTGCTAGATAGCATCCTGATATTAATATTTCGAATATTTTTGCATGTGCACACCATGATTAAAATAATTACCTATTTTTTTTTTTTTTGTAATTTATGCTCATAAAGAGACACACTGGTCCCTAAACAATTGTTCTAGTCTCCGTGGAACAAAATTAATCATTTTTCCAAACTTCAAATTTTTCTCTTGAGAACTTGTTTCTATTGGAACACTAGGCTTGGATCACAGATATTAGATATACAAAATCTTGCTAGATATTAAGGATCTATCTTTGTTTCAACTTTCCAAGGTCTATAGAGCAGCTAAACTTAATGCAAGATCAACCTGTTAGTACTTAAGGCTTTTTGTTTGTTTGTTTTCCCTGAAATCTTGTGAAAGACAGTTTGTATTTTGTTTTGTCTTACCATTATAATATATTTGGTATAGGATTCTTTTTTAGGTAGAAATTTTGGGCTAACTGTGCAAACATGACTGTTTTAGTCATTTGTTGAGTCTAGAAACAAAGGCCAAATAGATCTTCAATTAAATTTCTTCTCCACATTTGTAGTTGTGTGAACTCTAGCAAGTTACTTAACCTTCTTGAAAACATAATTTTCTCCCCTGTAAGGTGGGGATAAGTACAACATCTGTCTTCTCTAAGGATAGAGCTGATCTCTGTACTGTGTTTTAATGCACTGCCATGCCCATAGAGAACTTCAAATACCTGTGCATCGGTGATTATTCTAGACAAATTAAGAAGGCAAAAGGAGAACTTGAAGCCATGTCAGAGCAGGCTGACCTGAGCTGCTGGCGACTCTTGGGGAGGGCAGGTGCAGAGGACACTGGGCATCTGCAGTAGAGTTAGAAGCGGGTAACATCTGAGAATAATCTAGCCTATTTGATTGAAAGATTCCCTTTCTTTCATTCAGTAAGAATTATCTTCTCCTTCATCTTTCCTCTTTTCCCTCATTCCTCGTGTCAATCTTCATTCTTTTTAGGTTCCAGTTAACTATTGAGTGCTTTCACTGAAGGCAAATGAAACTCAGGGTGAATGGGTCTTTTTAACATTTAAGTCCCAAGTTTTAATTTTGCAAATATAATAAATATTCAAATATTTCATTTACCATAGTATATTTGTTGCTCAATTTAAGTTTTTGTAGGTGTTCTACATCTGAGAAAATGGGACAAAACGGGTTAAGGACTTTTTTTTTCTTATAATCCCTAGAGATAAAACTATAGCACGTTCTAAAATAAGTGGATCTTTGTATGATATTTTAAGCTATTTTTCAATGCTCCATGGTTCCTAGAGGCTTAGTAGGTTCCTAGTTCAGATGGTACACTCTCTGCCTCCTGCAGACCACACAAACTATGGTTCTTCACAGAAGCCAAGTACTGTCTCAGGGTGGACTGGCCAAAGGAAAAAGCTTCCAGAATAAGGACTGTGGGGTGTGGCTGGCTGACTGTGGTTTTACACATCTTAGTTTTTAAGTGACATAAAAATCTTGTCTGCTTCAGTGCTTTAATCTCTTATCTCCATGTACAAAACAAATCTCATGGTCATTTCTCTTTTAGGCCCTGCTGGAATTTCTCCAAAGAGTCATAGATAATAAAGAGAAAAATAAAATGACAGTCATGAATGTAGCAATGGTCATGGCCCCAAATCTCTTTATGTGTCATGCATTGGGTCTGAAGTCCAATGAACAACGAGAGTTTGGAATGGCAGCTGGGACAGCAAACATCATGCACTTATTGATTAAGTATCAGAAACTTCTATGGACAGTAAGTATATGTTTTTGAACAGCATTAATGACCATAGAATTTCTTTGCATAATTATTTATAACAATTTTGAACGTGCTTTTATGAAGCAGATATAAAAATGTAATGTTCTTTTTTTAATGGTTTAATAATCACATTATATTTTTGTTACCAGTTTTATAAGATTGTATTTAAAATTTGTGAGTGCAGAAATTAAAAGCATTTTATTCACACAGGTAAGGAGAACCTTGTGAATTTCTATTTACTTTTTTTTTTTTTGGTACTGGGGATTGAATCCAGGGTGCTCTTCCACTGAGCCACAATCCCAGCCCTTTGTATTTTTTACTGGTCCTTTCACTACCCCTGTAGTTCCCCATTTACAATTTTCCTTCCTGTCTGAGATTCAAAGGCCTTGTGCTAGGTAGGCAAGGACTCTACCACTGAGCCACACCCCCAGCCTTATTTTATTTATTTATTTATTTTTTTAAATTTGGAGATGGGTCTTGGTTGGCCTCAAATTTGTGATTCTCCCATCTTAACCTCTGGATCAGCTGGAATCACAGGTGTATATCAACTTGCAAGGCGGGGTTATTTTTTTTTTTT